ATTACCATCTCATTGTTAATGGGAATATAATTGGCTCATGTGACATTTTTTCAAAGGCGTACTAGTAAGAGATGATTTCAAAAGTACTTTGCTGCATATTGGAATAAACTTGACTGAGCCAGTGGAGCAGGCAACATAGATATATTGGTATGTGACTAAGTCTAGACCAAAGAGCATTTCATAGTTTCATAGTTTTAGGGTCGGAAGGGACCTAATAGATCTTCTAGCCCGACCCCCCGCCAGGGCGGGAGAACAACAAAAAAACCCCTAAAAACAAAAATGGGACTCAAATGAGTCCAGCCAGGTAGGTATCCAGCCTCTTCTTAAAGATCCCCAGGGTAGGGGCCAGCACCACCTCCCTTGGAAGTTGGTTCCAGCTCCTAGCCGCCCTAACTGTGAAGTAGTTTTTTCAGATGTCCAATCTGTACCTCCTCTCCATCAACTTGTGCCCATTACTCCTTGTTATGCCAGCGGGGGCTAGGGGAAACAGCGTCTCCCCCAAACCCTTCTGGTTCCCCCTAGTGAGTTTATAGACGGTCACCAGGTCCCCCCTCAGCCTTCTCTTGTGGAGGCTGAATAGGTTCAAGTCCCGCAGTCTCTCACTGTAGGGTCTGCCCTGTTGTCCCCGGATCATGCGGGTGGCCCTCCTCTGGACCCTCTCCATGTTGTCCACATCCCTCCTGAAATGGGGCGCACAGAACTGGACACAATACTCCAGCTGCGGCCTGACCAGCGTCGCATAGAGGGGGAGGATCACCTCCCTGGCTCTACTCGAGATGCACCTGTGGATGCACGACAAGGTCCGGTTAGCCCTGCCAACCATGACCTCGCATTGTCGGCCCATGTTCATCTTGGAGTCAATAATGACACCAAGATCCCTTTCCGCCTCCGTGCTCTCAAGTAGGGAGCTCCCCATCGTATAAGTGTGCTGCTGGTTCCTACTACCCAAGTGCAGCACCCTGCACTTGTCCGTATTGAAACACATCCTGTTCCTGTTTGCCCACCCCTGTAACCTATCCAGATCCTTCTGCAATCTCTCTCTCCCTGCTAGCGTGCTCACCTCCCCCCAAATTTTGGTGTCATCAGCGAATTTAAACAGGTTGCTTTCCACCCCAACATCAAGATCGCTGATGAAGAAATTGAACAGCGCAGGCCCCAGGACCGAGCCCTGGGGGACTCCACTACCCACCTCCCCCCAAGTCGAGTATGATCCATCCACCACCACCCTCTGAGTGCGACCCTTCAGCCAATCTGCAATCCATCTGACTGTGTAGGCATCTATGCCACAGTCGCCTAGTTTATTAATTAGGATGGGGTGAGAGACGGTGTCAAAGGCCTTGCTGAAGTCCAGAAAGACTACATCCACCGCGACACCTGCGTCCATGGCCTTTGTGACCTGATCATAAAAGGCAATCAGGTTGGTCTGACATGATCTCCCCCTAATAAATCCATGCTGATTGCCCCTGAGCATCATTTCTGATGCCGGCCCATCACAAATGTGCTCCTTGATGATCTTCTCAAAGAGCTTCCCCAGGATTGAGGTAAGACTGACGGGCCTATAATTGCCCGGGTCCTCCCTTTTCCCTTTTTTGAAGATGGGGACCACATTAGCTACCTTCCAATCGTCTGGCACCTGGCCCAAGCACCACGATCGCTCGTAGAGCCGTGCCAGGGGCCCTGCAATAACCCCAGCCAGCTCCCTCAGCACCCTGGGGTGGAGAGCATCCGGACCCGCTGACTTGAACGCGTCCAGCCCCTCCAGAAGCTCTCTAACCCGGTCCTCCCCAACCTGAGGTCTGAAGGCGATCCCCTCGCGTCCGGCTTCTATCACAGCAGGGAAGTCCCGGTCCCTGCACAAGAAAACGGAGGTGAAGAATTGGTTAAAGAGGTCCGCTTTATCCTCTGACGCAACCACCAGATTGCCCCGCATATCCTGCAGGGGCCCCACATTACCCGGCGCCTTCTTCATCCTCCCAATATATTTGAAAAAGGACTTTTTGTTATCCTTAATCCTGGACGCTAATCCGAGCTCTATCTCCGCCTTGGCCTTCCTAACAGCCCGCCTGCAGGCCCGAGCAGAGGAGGTATACTCCTCTTTGGAGATTACACCCCCCTTCCACCGGGCGTACGCCACCCTTTTGGCAAGCAGGCATTCCCGGACACCCTTGGTGAGCCAGGGGGGCTTTTGGACACTCCTGCCCGCCTTGCTTCTTGTCGGGATGGACACCCCTTGGGCCCCGAGTATCGTTTCCTTAAGGAACGACCACTCCTCTTGGACGCTGAGTTCCTCTGCCCTCAAGGACCCCAGTTCCTCTCCCACTAATCTCCTCATCTCACTGAAGTTGGCCCTCCTGAAGTCTAGGGCCACCACCTTGCTGCGGGCCCTTGACACTCTACGCTGGATGGTGAATTCCAGCACGCGATGATCACTATTGCCCAGGTGGTCAAGAACCTGGAGGCCTCTTACCAGGTCGTCGCCTGCGGCCAGGACCAGGTCCAGCAGAGCATCTCCTCTGGTGGGACTGTGCACCTCCTGAATCAAGTGGAGGTCCTGCAACTCGGCCAAGAACCTCCTGGAGCAGTCCGTCCCGGCTGACTGCTCCTCCCAGCAGATGTCCGGGTAATTAAAATCGCCCATGACAACTACATCCCTTGCTTTTAGTGTCTCCGCAAGCTGGCCTGAAAATTCCCTGTCCAGCTCCTCCTCTTGATTGGGGGGTCTGTAATAGACCCCCACCGTCAAATCCCTCTCGCCTTGCCCCCCCTGGATCTTGACCCAGAGCACTTCAGCTTGCCCTTCCCCTGACCCCATTCTGCTGGCAGAGGATGTGTAGTGCTCCTTGACATAGAGTGCCACCCCCGCCCCTTTTCTGCCTTCTCTATCCCGCCTGTACAGCCTATAGCCCCTAATGTTAACTGCCCAGTCATGGGACGAGTCCCACCACGTCTCTGTTAACCCTACGACATCTGGATTTGGACTAGCTATTCTGAGGGCGAGTTCCTCATGTTTGTTCCCCATGCTACGAGCATTGGTGTACAGGCATTTAAGGCCTTGCATTTGAATCAATAAAACTAGTCAAAATATAATACCAATTCAAAAAGAAGTAAACCTTGCTGCAAGGCTTAGTTTTGCTCTTCTATATACCTCTGAAAAATATCGTATGAGTCAATTGTATTCCCACTTGCAATGAGATGGCAATGGCTGCATTTGTGTAATATTGTAAAATTTTGACCACAGAGTAAGGAGACAGATGAACACTCAATTCTGTAATTTAGCTTAGTACACTGAGTCAGGATTGATGGACATTCATCAATTGCTGGCCTCTGATTGATAAATTGGACCTATTCCAGAGCATAAAACAAGATTTAGCACTGCATAAACTATGATTACTTTACTGATGTCCTAGAATTTATTTACTATTTTGGAACTTCATATTTATATTGTATAATAGTATAATTAATATTATATTATATTGTATAGTAAAATGCAATATTTATATTGTATAATATTATAATGAAAGTGAATTTAAACAGATGATTTTCTAAAAAAAACTATCGACAAAGAAATTACATTGCAACCAATGATTAATAAAAAAATCTAATGTTGTTACATTATTGTAATGATACTTCTGCTATTGGTAACATTAAACATAATCATCAAGTAAGTTCAATCAAAATTTTGCATTCCATTTCTCTGTCAGTGGTTTATTTTCCCTAAAAAAGGAATACTTTTTTCAGATCTCATGAACATGCTAATGACTGAAAAGGAAATTATCATATATTCTCAGCCATCTTTCATAAAGACACATCTGGGAAAAATAAAATCATTAGCCAGTTAAATCTGCTCAAAAAATAGCTGCATTGCCAAAAGTTTCAAGTTTTCAATTAGTAATTTAGGCCAAAAATTAAGATACACCTTTGGAAGTTGTCTAGGTGCACTGTGCTTCAGTTGTCCCCTCTCAGATGTGCATCCAGAGGGGATGTGGTGACAGTCACACCTCCCGTTCCACAATGTAGCTTGAGAGCTCCAGTTTCCTGCAGCTCTGGATACCTTGGTCCTCTGTGGAGTCTGGACTATGCGACATCAGCAGCAGTTGTGGACATTTTTCTTTTAGGTCACCAAAGCAAGTAAGAATCCCACCTCCCTTCCTCATGCTTGTCTTTGAGCCAGTTCTGTTCTCTCTGATACAGACATGGAAGTTGGTGAGGTTGTACCTGTGAGAGACACTGGTGTATATCAACTGCATCATGTCGTTGACCTTAATCGGACAAGCCTTTACATATGGAACTCTCATCGTATGGTGTTTGCATGCAAAGAAGACTGTCGGTCTGGGCCTTATTAGTCTTTATTTCGAATATTATTTGCAAATTTAAATTTCAGAGTGAAGATCCTCATAAAAATCCTTCTACACCCTAAAAAATCCTATTTTGTATTGCACTGAATTCAGCTGTCTCAAATATGCAGATTATATCTTCTTGGAGCAGCAGTATGGGCACGCAGCCAAACACCCAGTGCGCAGAGGCAGTGGTGACTTCTGGTTGGCAAGGCAGCACCCAGGGCAGTATGAGAGTACCTACATCTGGTGTACCACTGCCACTGCCCTGGCTACAGTTCTGCCCTGGTGACAACCTGGTGTCCATGAAGGGTTATGTCAGGATGTTTAGTAAAAATCTCAAGAATGATAATTAGCACTCCAAAATAAGCATCTCAAATGTATCAAACTGAGTAAATAACGCAGTGGACTTAAAGGTTCTGAGATTTCCGGAAGAGTGTTCTTCTCATTATCTTTATTCTATTGAAAAGTAAACGGTATTGAGATGTTGATAATACATGCTTCAGTACTCAGTATAACTGCTCTAAGGTGTTGGATGTACCATTGAACTATTAGTAAAATAGTAAATTATTTAATCAGATTAGAATGCAAGTAGCGCTAATATGAACGTGGCACTTGATTTATGCTATGAAGGAAAATCAAATTTATTCTTTTCTATTTGCTTAGGTTCGTGTGTTCACATTTTCTGTTGGTCAACATAATTACGACAAAGGCCCCATACAGTGGATGGCCTGCCAAAATAAAGGTATGTTTATGTGTCCCTGCTCATAATTTCATAAAGCTTCAGCTTTACAAAAAAAATTTTAGATTCTTTGCCTGATTTGAAAACTTATTTTATTGTGTCAATGAGCATTTGATGTAGATAAAAAGAAAATGTTGTCTTAATTGGTTTTAAGGGAAAACATATCAGATAGACTAAAGACTGGTATTATCTGTATAGTACTGCTAGCATTAGTGTTTATTGCTAATATTACTTTGATGATGTAGTAATGTATAAAACAAATCTCAACTTCATCCCTTCCCCTTATACTTAGAATTAGATTTTGGGGTATTTGATGGGGGAGATAATTACACAGGCAGTTTGCCAAGTCTGAAGCATGAATTGCCCATAGATACCAAAGTAACTACTCACTGTGTATAGTTTCAAAACACCGAACTGATTTAATAAGTTTAACTGAATAATCAGAAACAAAGTGAGAATATAATAAATGTTACCAAGCTGCATGGTTTATAAAGAATCCAGCTGCCACTAAAACTCTGAATGGCATTCTGAGTCTTACTATTTGCTTGGGATTTTTTCTCAAGATAAATCTCTAGAAAAGCAAAGATCAGCAAGATGTGCCAGTGTGTCCCGTTAATCATTGCAGCACCGTTACATTTGGCAGAATTGTTTCAGTTCCAGAAAGTTCTTGGTTTCTTCCCATGCACTTGATGGGTAAAAACTTGTTTTAAGGATTGCATAGAGACAAAAAACACTGAAATGGGCAGAAAAATTAATAATATTTGTTCTCCAAATGTGGTGATCTAGGCTAAAATAAAATGGGAAGACTTTTAAATGTCCTTCAGAATATTTCCTAAAAACCATTGTAAAATATCTTAACTAGAGCCAGTCAAAAGTTTTTTCGACAATAAATGCATGCTGATTCATGAAAAAGCAAAATTGCAACTGTTGCTCTGCAACTTTCCTCAGGAGAAAAGGTGTAGTACAGGCAGAGGCATATTGCAGAATAGTCAACAGCACAGAAGCCTTAAAAACCAAGGCTCTTCAGGGATAAGAGGTTTTGGGGGTGTTTTTTTTTTTCCTTTTTCCAAAGTAATTTTGAAAGTTCTCATTTTTTTCTTTGCATCCCAGTGAAAGCAAGTATTAAAGTCTTTCCTGTAACCTGTTCATGTCATTTAAGTTACTTTCCATTATTCCTTCAGGAAAAAGTGATAGAGTAATTGGTACTCCCTGATGAAGAGGATAGTGGTATTTTATCATTTCTGTTATACATTTCAGGTTACTATTATGAAATCCCTTCCATTGGCGCAATAAGAATAAACACACAGGTAAGTCTGTAGTGCTTGCATACTGTAGACCTACTCATAAATAAAAAATGTCACAATTGTAATAAAATGTTGTAGATACTATTTTTGTTTAGTCTAACAAACCAAAATAAATTCCTGTTTGAACAAAGTAAAAATAGCATGAAACATAATATGTCAGATCTAACATTCCTTCAGATCTGAGTTATTCTACAAAAGTATTTAACAGGATTTCTTTTCTTTTCTTTTAATATCTTTTATGTTGGTGGTTGTACTAGATAATCCCGAAGGTCCCATTGAATCCTATCATTCTATGAATCCGTGTTAGTTGAAAACCCTGAATATTTAAATGAAAATATGTGCAGTTGTTGGTAATTCTTGTATTTGTTGGACCAGAAAATAACATAATTTCAGCCATTTTGGCATTGCCAGAAAGAGACATAATGTGCTAGGCAAAAATACATGAATTAGAGATGGTCAGGTTTATCTATGGATTTTCCAAGTCAAACCAAAAATAGGCGTTATTTCTCATAAGGCTCATCTACATGTTGCCGTATGGTGACATTACTATGGCACTCTGCTTTACTACGTCCTTTTGGAACATGACTAAATCACGGTGCAGTAACCACTCGTACTGTGCCGTGCATGCAGTGGACAGTTACGTTGCCATAGCAGCCTGCTAAAATGAGGGAACGCACCACTATGGTGAAGTAGCTGATGATCACGTGTAGACTGACATGATCGCTAGATCACCATCGCACACCATACATCAATGTAGCACATTACTGTGGCAACGTGTAGACTTGTCCATTAGATCCCTACTCTCGGTACACGCTCCTGCACTCACTGAAGGCAACAAATACACAAGATCAACATACTAAAGGTATTCATTTCAATAAGAACTGTCCTATGAAAGCCACTGTAAATTATTATGATATATCCGGGGCCAAATGCTATTTTACCTTTGTGAATCTAAGTGCTACTTGTCTGCTCAGATGTTGCTATGTAAGTGGCATGCCTGTCATTTACACAGAGTTTAGATTGAATTTCCACTTGCATAACATGCTCAGAAGGCTCCACTATGGCTCTATATACTCTGTGGCAGAATAGGACTGGCGAAGCAGGAAGGTAAACGTGGGCAAGTGTTGCTGCACAAGTAGAAATTCAATCTCAAATCTACATCAGTGCCAAAATTTGCAGCTATGTTTAGATGTGGAAGTAGCACTTAATTGGCTCTTAGTTACTAACCTGCTATTTAAACCCCATATTTGTAGTTCTGTCCATAAATACTTATGAGCTTGTTGCTCCTGGTATAAGAACCATCTAAATCGATGGATTCTGATGCTCAGTTTCTTCAGGCCTTTTTTTCCTCCAACTTTGTGCTGGAAAAAATGTGAGGATTTGTTACAGCTATGTCTAGTGCTAGCTCAGAGAGCCTGAAAACTGACCTGGCTTCTGTACGCACTTCCCCTAATCCATTTAAAGTTATTCTGTAATTTTACGTTTTCATAGTATGCATTCCACCCATACACCTCAAACCATTTTACAAGGATGTGTAAGTAATCACTTCCCCCTTTTTCTTCCCCATAGAGTTGAGGGTCCTGTAGTCTTGTAAATTTATCATTATAGCTATATTTCATTTTTGTGTATGTGAATACTGGAAAGAAAACTGGTAGACTATCTGTTGGGTCTTGACTCCTCAGTGCCAGGACTGTCTCAATATTCCCCCTGCTGGGATCAGTTTGGGGTCAGTCTAGACTAACGCCTGCCCTTCAAAGGACAAAGAATGTGAGGGTTTGTCTATCTAATATCACAGGTGCTGAATTTTGCCCCGTAATCCTGATTTCATTTTATTTGTTTTCTGTCATTTGATTTGTTTTCTTTTTGGTACTGTTTCTGGATGTTGGTTCAATAATGATGTGCCAGTGATGAAATTCTCAACCTTCTTGACAGGAATATTTGGATGTTTTGGGCAGACCTATGGTTTTAGCTGGAAACAAATCAAAACAAGTACAGTGGACCAATGTCTATTTGGATGCACTGGTATGATCTAGATTTATTTCTATAGTAAAATAATAATTTCAATAATGAGTATATTTGTTTGTACATTTAATAATCATTGCATTCAGTCTAAGGAAAAACAGAATCTTACTTTGCTGAGATCAGAGGTATAGCGTGGGAAAAATGCACCTTGAGCAGATACTCCCTTCTTCCCCCCATCTTCTCCAAGTGCAAGAAAAGAACAGACACCCAAGCGGTGTGCAGGCATTGTGGGAATTGTAGTTCTCTAGGCTGGCCAGGGAAGTTTGCTGCTGCTGTGTAGGAAACTTTCACCCTAATTTTTTGCAACGCAACCCCATGTTCAGAGGACAACCTTCACCCCGCCCCCCAAAAAAAGCCCCCAAACCCTCCAGCTCTGCTCTACTAAACTATGATTTCCAGAATGCTTTGCTTCTGCTTTCTGTAGCCAGAATGTGTCTACAGAGTGAGGCAAGACAGCAGGCATATCAGTGAGGTAGGCTGCAGCAATAATCATGGGGTGATGCCATTTTGATGCCCCTACCCTTAGCCAATACTCCTTACTGAGGCATGTGCCCCTCTTGGCCCCCTCATGTTACACCTAAAATGCATCATTTAATGCTTTCATGAACTGTGAAGAACATCACTTATAGAGAGAAAGCGTTATAACGTGAAGAATTCTCCCACCTCTACCCACCGCCCACAAACTTAAGGATTCAGCCCTTTATAGACTAATGTTTCAAAGGATTTTCCATAAGGTTACATTGCAATAAGAGCTTTTTGAAATGCTGTATCCCACTGAGATGTCACTGCTATGTATCAATTTTCTCCAGTATACTGGCATTGAGAGAAGTGTAATTTATTCCACAAAGTCTTTGCACAGTCTCTAAATGCAGCTTGTTCTTGACCTGAAGGAAACACAATTTCTCAATGATGTGTCTCTCTTCATCAGAGCAAAGGCCAACAGTTTTACTAAATTATCTGGAGGCCTTGTGCTCTGAAACCTGTGTAACTGGCTAATACCGTGGTACCAGCAAACTCATTTTCACCTGTTACCTGACCAGGATTTCAATTTGAGTCTCCAAAGGGCACAGTTATTGCAATTAGCTATTTTCTCAGCCAACTGTTTGTTTAACTTAGCAGTCCATGTAATGGAGGAAACAAACAAAAGGATATACTCCAGCACTTTCTTGGCTGTTTAATTTATCATTTGAGTCATGTAAAACAAACAGATGCAGGAAACTACGAAAAGCTAAGTATTATTATCAACAGCTCAGACTGAAGTAGATAAATGGGCTGCATGTACGTCTAACTTTGCTTAAATTACTGTAAAATGGTCATTTGACATCACATATTTATCTGAGTTCATCTAAAGTCATGTCAAAATGCTCTTCTTCCTGTCAGTATTACCGTAAAATGCTCATTTTTTATCCATTCATTGCAGAACAGTGTGTGACATAGAAGAGCCAATTTTTTGTGTCCTTATAGTTTCAGTAGCCAGAAGTTCATTGACCATGATTTCTTGGTTGCTGTTGAGGTATTTACTGGAAACATAAAGGATGTTATGAAGAAAGTTCATATGTTCTGTGCATATCCTGTTCTAAAGTCAAAGATAATTTTGCAATATGAGGGTGGAGGGAGATTCACTTAATTAAAAATAACTGTGATACCTGAACACAAACATCATGCTAGTTTAGTTTCAGTGGGCTACAAAATGCTTTTACATCCAGTCTTTTCTTCAGGTTTTTGCCCATATGCATAATGTGCCAGAAGTTCTCAGTATAAATATTTTTTTCAAGTAAGGATATATCAAAGCTTTAAAATGTAGGTCAAGCTGGATCCAGGAAGGCCAAGGTGACTCTGAGCCTTTATAACTGCACCACTGAAGTAGTCAGAGGGTTGGATGTGGATCTAGATCTCAAAATCCTAGTAGTTGGAGTCTGCTCAACTGTAGGGTCCCAGTTCAGGCCAGTTTAGGAGTTTTCTTTTTATAAAACATAATACTGGGTGCAGGCCCCAATTTTGCAATTGTACCCCTTCTACTTAGGGTGCTTTAGTTCAGACATATTCTAATAATTTGTTAGTAGAGTACTTGTTATATTTGTTTTATGTCAACATAGCCCCTAGAAATATGTCTTCTCTCATCTATTCATTTGGCATCTGTTAAGCCGCTGGACTCCATTTACTCACCTTGCTCTCTCTGACCTCATCCCAATCCCAAAGTGTCAGGCACTGCACCCCTGTTATATTGTTGACTACCATGGAGGTGCTGAAGGTGATTCTTGTTAGCACCTAGCCTTTCCCTTTCTATGTGCAATCTGTTCTTCCTTTTACCTGGGCAAATTTGCCATAGTGTGATATTTGACCATCCCTTTTCCCTTGACAAAGTTGGAAGCAACAATGGTACTCTTAGAAGACTTTCTTGTAAGAGTCTTTCTAAAATTATCATTGTTGCTTCCCACATTGACATGTTTGCCCTGGGTCTAATATCCAGACAATTAAAATGTTTGTCATTTTTTTGTTGCATTTACCATTGTAATGTCCTCATCTCACCTCTCTTCCCCGCTAATCTGTCCAGAAGTAAAAACATGAGGGAATGGTTCAGCCTGAGCCAGGAATGATTTTTGAGTGAGCACACTTCTGTAACAGAATTTTTCCCATTACATCTGTAAAACCACATCATCTTGAGTCTCTTCAAAGGCTTATTATGTAATGTGTCTTAGTCAGGCTTCTTGCAGATATTAAGACTTCACTGTGCATGAGTTGCTACATAATTGTCCCTGTGTCCTCTGCTACCATAACTTAGCTCTGTTTCATTCAAGGACAGGCTGCCCTGGTTTAGCTTTCAGTAGGACATATTTGTGGGTGAAAGCATAGTTGCCTTAATTAACAGGGGATGGAGACTTACAACACCTCAATTTTCTTTGGTAACTGTCCATTTGCCCTCAGTTACTTGATAGTCAGAGCTAAACCAGAATGTTTTATCTCTAAATAAAATGGTTAAATTTGTCCCAGTTTAATTTTGACTTCCTATGAAATAGTATATGAGCCTGCAGTTAGCAGGGCCAGGGATTTACAAATGTCTGCTGTCTTGCAGTCTTGGCATATCTGTTCCAATCCACACAGTAAATAGATAGGGGTACTTACTATATAATAATGCCCCACCTCCCAGTAATTATGGGAACACAAAAAGTTGCAACTACATGCATGGGTTAGCATGACATTTTCCCCATTTGAAATGGGATCATGACAAGAAGAAAGTTTGAGAGCCACTGACATTTGAGTTTTTGAGGGGAGCTCCAAGAATGAATGATAAAAGTAAGATGATAAATGCACACGATACACCTGCCATATTACTGAAACTTGAATTGTAGCTAAATTATTGTTATTACTTTCCACTATTTAGCTGTGATATAATAACATTGGTACAGTGCATCCTCCCAAAACACACTCCTGTTTAAAGGTAGCATTCCTGGAAATGACGAGGCAAAATGTAGATACCAGGAGTAGTGTAACCTACTTTATGAGTTTTCCTTACTGCTTTGTCATGTTACCCACTTCTTATCTACATTTTTACTACCCTTTTCATTTTTGTATTAATAAATACCTTAGTTAGCAGTAACTGTGAGAGAGAAAAATGATGTATAGATGTAAATACAGTCTCATTATCCTAATGTTTATGCAATGCCAGACTGTATTACACCATTCCTTTTTTAAAACTGTTACTTTCACCTGCCACATACCAAGAATTACATGCATGCATTTTTGATAAGCCATGGAATTTGAAAAGAATGGTCATTAATTACCTTATTAAAAATATTTGCACAGTGCATTACATCCATTATTTGACAATGATCACTCATGTTAGAATATATTATTACATTCAAAGTTTGCTTTTTCAGTTTTTTTTAAAAAACCTAATACCCAAACTAAAAATATCACAGATTTAGAGAAGGTAATTATTTGTTTTAATATATTCTAGTTTAATGTTTGCCATTAACTACTGTCTCCCATCTCTCATTATATTCCAGGAACTGGGCCTTGTCATTACCGGAACGCTACCTGTCTTCAATCTAACAAAAGACCAAGATGGAAAAAAAGTAAACATGAAGTATTACTTGAATCAAAAAGACATTTCAGTTATATTAATTAAACGTGGTGGAGAAATCTTTCTGGAAATAGATATTTGCATAAAAGATTATAGTCTATAGTCTAATTGCATGTGCAGCTAGCAACATACTATTACATCAAGTTTCTGATAACCTGGAAAAAGGAAATACAGATTACGTTGTTTGTTGTCCTAAATTTCAATACGTGGCGTTACTTGATCTTCCTGCATGACCTGGTGACACTGAGAATGCCTTATGGGATGAATAGCTAGATGGGGAATAGGTGGTAATGATACAGAGATGTTCCAAGAGACAATGTCCATTGGCCTTTATAAAAAACCATGGAAGCTATGAAGTTTCAGGACAATAGGCAATAGTTACATGGAAGAACAGTCAATTATCTAGGAGAGTGTCAGGAAAGGACAGGTGGGTTTCTGAGTATGGAAGAGGAATATCTGTCTTCCTCTGAAAAGGGCATCTTTATTATATGATCTAACTTCATACTGTGCTTACTACTTTTTTTGAAAGATGGCCCAAATAAGTTTATAAATATACTGTAAATTACATACTGTATAGTAACCCTTGAGTTGCAAAGTAAAATGCTCAAAAATTAGAAAATCTTGAATTTAAATGTTGCCTTAGCAACACACATATACACATACACACACACTTTGAACTAGATCACTCCCCTGAAGTCCCTTCCAGCCCTATTTTTCCATGATTCTATAAAATAAATAGACACCCCACATTTTTGTACTATTATCTGTTTACTGCATTTCTTACATATTCAACCATGAAAGCATAAGTTTCTTAGTGTGGGAGCCTATATATATTTACTTGGATCTTTGTATCTTCTTACTGTTTAACACAAGGGTAGGCAAAATACAGCCTGCGGGCCAGATCTGGCCCACCAACTGATCGTATCTGGCCCATGGCCACCCCTGCAAGTCTCTGCATGGGGCTGAGTCTTGCCTGCTTCCACCTTCCACCCATTCAGCTGCCCACAGGTGGCTGCTCATCGCACCAGGTGGGCAGAGTGAATGGAAGGTGGCCAGGAGCAGGAGCTGGAGCCCCACATGCTGAGGCAGAAGCTGCCTGCTTGCAGGTTTCTCCCCCGCCTTACTGGGCATGTGGTGCCCTCCACTGATTCCCCATGATACCTGCAGCCCGGAGCAATGCAGCAGAGGCAGGAGGAAGAGGAACTGCTGGAGGTGCAGGGAGCCGAGCAGTACCTAGGCAACGGCAGCAGCAGCACTGTGTGCTGGCTGGGGCCACGGTGGTGCTGTCAGTGGGTGTGGGACAGGTGTGGGCAACAGCATGGCACAGCTTGCCCCAAGCAGAAGCAGCTGGTGCTTCACCCCCAGCAGAGTGCTGCAGGGGCAGCTGCAGCCAGATGGGGAAGTGAACTGCATTTGCATATTCACTACACCATCTGGATGAACTCTGTAGCATATGCCCCATGCCCTCCTCCCGTACCCCTGGCCAGCTCCCAGGACCTAGTGCATGGGCAGCCCCCCCATACACATGCACGCCCCCACACC